TATAAGCATTTCCTAGAATATACTAGTAATAGACAGCTGATATATTCTTGAAAAAAAGTGTAGTTCAAATATGGTGTGTTCTTGACCAATTGTATTATCATTTCCATGAAATAGCTTATTACTTAATATGCTTTGTCTCACGTTACACACAAAGTCTTTCATTACACACACGCTACACACTACACTCAGGTTACTTCCTCGGCAACCGCACAGTTACTAAGAGACTGATTGCAAGGAGGCTGTGTTTCTATGGTAACGCTAGTGGCTGAGTCATCTTCACCGCAGTGCTTGCTCTCACTAGTGAACATGTGTTTATCTGCTATTTGTGTATTGCTGTTCATTCACTTGGTTTGGGACATGATTCGAATCCTTAATCCCAAGTAATGGCACGTGTCTTCAAAAGGTGTGTCAAACATTGAGGTCTAGTAATACCCCCAAAACCTAATTCAGGCAAGGAAGGGTTATTAATATAGCACATTTCAGCACAAAGGCAATCTCTTTACAATAAAGCATCATACATTCTTGGTCATTACCTTACTCAGATGACATTCATTGATTGTCCGTTAATAAGCAAGGATCGCTAGTTAGCACTACTGTGTTTTCCGTTATCTCCCAAACTCAACGTGCGCTGCCTTGGCGATCGACCCATTGGCACCCCTGCTGTTGTATGTCCACTAATATCAGTTATATAATATAAATGTTGAATGTTTGTAATGATTTTGTACTGTTCAGCTGAGGGTGTTGTATGTTGTGCACGTTTAAAAAAGAAATTTGTGATTTTGGGTTGTGCAGATGAATTAACCACCCATAGTGGGAGTGAGGAGAGACGCCGAAGTCTCCAGGCATGACGGACAAGGTCTAATCACAGGAGCTTGCACAGGCACACTGGCCGCACGGCAGGCATCCTAAAGAAATGCTTGTAAAGTAACTTTATGTAAGATATAAAGTGAGAGATATGTTCTTTCAGGCAAGGTGTAAGCGTGCACATGGTGTTTTTGTGGGACCGTTGTGTCTTCATGAGAGACTGATCATTATTATTACTACCTAAGAGGTGACTGTGTGACATAATGTGAAATACGCACATCTAAACACACGCACACTATTTTCAAGGCGGTTGAGGTAGAAGCTGCAAAGGAGTGGAAGCCCCCTCCCCCACTATCCGTTACGGGGAGTGTTCCTCTATCTCGATTAGGAAATCCCTGCATTATTAATACTATAGCGTGTGCCCTATGGTGGCTAAATTCTGGATTTTTACAAGCTTTGCACTTGACATTTTATGCCTGCATTTGTTTAGACACATAATGTGTGCAAATTGTTTCCATGTCTACATGAATTCATGAAAATGTGTTGTGTGTGTGTGTGTGTGGGTCTGTGTGCGTGCTTTGTACATTATTGTTCAATGCTCTCTGTGTTGTGCTTGCATGCATGCTAGCCACGGCTGCTTTGTGTGTGTGTCTCTTTGTGCCTTTAGGGGTGGGAGGCTGAACAGGAGGGGAGGATTCTATAAATAGACAGCTCTCCAGCTCCTGTGGACTCAGAGAGAGAGAGAGACAGACAGAAAGGAGAAAGAGGTAGTCAGAGGAGGCTGTGCTATACTTGCCATGAAGGTACAGAACAAACAGGAGGAGCAGCAGTGAGCTCTGCCGTCACTTCCTTCTCCAAGTGATGCCCATAACGAGAGCAGCCCCGTTGTTACATTGATTCTACCTTTCAAATGAATCTTGTGACTACTTGTGACCTCACATCATAGGCAGGGGGTAATTGCTGTTAGCTGTTTGATAAAGAGTGATTTCGTTTTGCTTCCCGATGGCTTTATGAGTTAAAATGATGGTTTACAGTTCATTTAGTCTTAAATCCAATCATGAATCAGATTTGGGGCATTTCCTTCACAGCTTTTCGTCTGCTGATAAATGTGTCTTAATCCTCATGTTACAATGGTACCAAGAGCCTTTTCACAATGCTAACCTCATGTTACAATATTACTATATTATAGTGGTGAAATTGGAGGTGGTTAAACTATGAATGTGATCAAAGAGAACCATGACGCTGCGTGAGGATAATTACCCATGCATCCTTAATTGCTGAAATAATTTATTTTTTAAATTGTATTAGGCTTATTTAGATGGAACCTGTAAGGCCGTACTTGAAAGCATCGCTTTTGAAAAAAAAATGTTAATAGCCTTCGCCCCTTTCTAAACGTTAAAAACATCAATTGCTCTCCTACAGTCCTACTTTGTACTTGAGGCCTTCTGGGGGCATTGTGGGAGTGGGAGCGATTGATGGCCTCTTTCAAAAATCCTCTGATAGCCATGGCTAATTAATCCATTCGCTAGTCCAACCTGCATGTGTTTACATACTTCCTGCATCCTGATCGGTGGAGCAGCCGCAGACTAAAGGCCATAATACCAGTATGTATATGTATAACAATATAAAACCTATGAACTTATGGCTTAAGACTCAACAGTCTTCAGTGTTTTAAAATGTATTTATTTTGCATTATTCCAACAGCAGAATAAAAAGCTCCGGTAATTTAGAGGAGCATAAACACGATTTCCAAATATCCAAAGGTTCGCTTACTGTTCTTCATTATTACATTGTATCTTGTTGTAATGTTAACTATAAGTTGTTGTGAAAACAATGAACCTTTTCATTGTTTCATTGTTTCATGCTAATCACATGTTACAATGTGAAAATGAACCATTTCAATGATAACCACATGTTACAATGAACCTTTTTGCAATGCTAATCACGTTACAATGAACCTTTTCAATGATAATCACATGTTACAATGAACCTTTTCACAATGCTAATCACATGTTACAATGTTACAATGAACCTTTTCGCAATGCTAATCACATGTTACAATGAACCTTGTCACAATGATAATCACATGTTACAATGTGAATATGAACCGTTTCAATGATAATCACATGTTACAATGAACCTTTTCAATGATAATCACATGTTACAATGAACCTTTTCACAATGCTAATCACATGTTACAATGAACATTTTCGCAATGATAATCACATGTTACAATGAACCTTTTCACAATGCTAATCACATGTTACAATGAACCTTTTCACAATGACAATCACGTGTTACAATGTTACAATGAACCTTTTCACAATGCTAATCACATGTTACAATGTTACAATGAACCTTTTGGCAATGCTAATCACATGTTACAATGAACCTTTTCACAATGACAATCACATGTTACAATGTTACAATGAACCTTTTCACAATGCTAATCACATGTTACAATGAACCTTTTGGCAATGCTAATCACATGTTACAATGAACCTTTTCACAATGCTAATCACATGTTACGATGTTACAATGAACCTTTTCGCAATGCTAATCACATGTTACAATGAACTTTTTCACAATGATAATCACATGTTGCAATGTTAAAATGAACCTTTTCGCAATGCTAATCACATGTTACAATGAACTTTTTCACAGTGATAATCACATGTTGCAATGTTAAAATGAACCTTTTCAATGATAATCACATGTTACAATGAACCTTTTCACTATGATAATCACATGTTACAATGAACCTTTTCACAATGATAATCACATGTTACAATGAACCTTTTCGATATGCTAATCACAGGTTACAATGAACCTTTTCACAATGCTAATCACATGTTAAAATGAACCTTTTCACAATGATAATCTCAGTTAACAATATTACCCTAATGTTACAATGTTGACTTTGACCATTACATAACCCTAAGCCTCTTGTTAGGGTGGAAACTGTGACTGTTTCACAACACAAACCATACTCTCAGTAGCTTATTATACATCATTATCAGAATTAAAACCAAGGCAATTAATTTAATTCATTTGAAAATATTTTTGTGTCTATTAATATAATCTGTTTTTTGAAATTGTGATGGTTTTTTACTAACATTGTATCTTTTGAAATGTTTGTTATGGACAGTGGCAGAAAACGAGTACCCCAACATGCCACCTGCCATAGTGGCCACCGGGAGAGAAAAGTCCTGTCAGAGAAATTTTGGCCTTCAATGGGAAACCGAGGCAGCAGACAAGATACTAATCAAGCCTTTGCTCGGCCTCACTACTGTGAAGAATTATCTGGAAAGTGATCTCGTCACTAAATCTGGTGAAATAGTGATTAGTCCGAAGAGGCTGGCCACAGCTGAACAGGTATATGTTTGTGTGCAAAGTGCCGCTTGCTCTAGAGAAGAAGGAAAGCAGAGGGCAAGTGGGCAAATGGGGGCTTCTGCTTAGAGGGCAATACTATCATGGAAGATGGAAGATAACGGCCAACATCTAAAAAATGAGGAAAATCATTAAACATCAACTTTGACCATGCTTGAGCGCCAACCTTCATGTTGTAAACGCAGAATACACCACTCCTCTTCCTAGAGTCTCGTCCTGGCCGCGAGCGTCTCAAACTCACGTGAACTTTATCCAACCCCTGAATTTCCTTTTCTAATGTTGATCAATGTATTGTGTCATATGCTGTTAGAGCTGCAGTAATAAATACTTAGGAACAACAGATTTGGCAAAATTCGGGAGCTGTTATGTATACATACATTTGTATATTCATGTATTCTAATAGCAATAGTGTGTGCTGCAAGGTGGATAAACGCTACAGTATCCGACATGAGAAACACCAACGGTCTTGCTGTTTGTCTCCTTCATATAATCATTATTATAATAATGTTAATAATGATATTTGTTCAAGGAGCTCATCCTTAGCGAGACATTGTATTGGGTATGACAGTGTTTGGGGTTATAATTGGGATTTTCCCCAATCAGTTAATTTTCAATAGATTTTGTTACATTTCATTTGTATTCAGCAATCAACACACAGGTTGACTAGTAGCTGTGCTTCATTCACAACAAGCACAGGTTACATAAGAAGAGCCAGCGATGCTCCAGCTGCCTCATCCTATCGCTTTAAATGAGGCAGAGCTGCGCCGCTCGGCGTGCGTGCGTGTGTGCGTGTGCGTGTGTGCGTGCGTGTGTGTGTGCGTGTGTGTGTGTGTGCGCGTGTGTGGGAAGGAGACGTTACGGGGAAAGAGAGCGACACTCTGCTGTGGAGGACGACTAGGCGATCAGAAAACACCGCGCGCAGGACACTCGGCTCCTCCCGGGGAACGCGTTCTGGTTCTGGACCTGGATGCTCTGCGTGTCTCGGATCTACCGTCTGTTCATTGTTTGTTGGTGACGTCGGGGGAGAAGCGACCGAGAAGCAGCAATAACATGGTGCTCGTTATGGATTAACGCCCGAGTGCATCTCCATCCGAGAGGTAAGGGATGCTGGGAGGGGAGAGGGCCGCGCGGGGGGGACGCGTCCGTGGGTGCAGCGGGTGATGGATGGCGGCTCGCAGCATCCACACTGCGGGCTCATCGGCTGCGGGGATGGGGGCTGGTGATGGGGGTGTTCCGGCTCTTTGTGTGCACACGGCGTCGGCCTTCGGGCAGACGGTAGCTGATCAGCCGCATCGAGCTATTAGCAAACATGATGACGTCAGCGTTTGTCAATGACGCAACATCTGTCGTTGGCCTTTCAGCAGCAGGAGGTTCCTGCCAGGTGTTGATAGTCTGGACTCCGCCCCGGTTCCCTTTAGACGCTTTAAGGATCATTGCATCCGGGTAGAGACCCGTTCGTCCCTCATACATCTCATGTGGCTTTGAACAGTGTTTGCTGAAGTTAGTATGGACCGGCCCACGGGTGGTGTTGTGGTGGGGGCCTGATTCAAGATGGCCGCCGCTGTGGTTCATTGTCACTTCTGATTGCATTATTATTGTAATCGTAATACGATCATTGAGATTGTCCTGTTATTCATTGCGTTTTACTATTTCTCTCCTGTTATGTCTCATGCAATAAATCAAGCGCACCCCTCTATTTCACAGAGATGTAGCGGGCTCGCAGGGTGAGGTTGGCTCCCGCAGGGTGAGGACGGCCCGCGGGGGGCTTGTGGGGTGTGGAGGGCTCGCAGGGTGAGGACGGCCTGCGGGGGGCTTGTGGGGTGTGGAGGGCTCGCAGGGTGAGGACGGCCTGCGGGGGGCTTGTGGGGTGTGGAGGGCTCGCAGGGTGAGGACGGCCTGCGGGGGGCTTGCGGGGTTTGGAGGGCTCGCAGGGTGAGGACGGCCTGCTGGGGGAGGACGGCCTGCGGGGGGCTTGCGGGGTGTGGAGGGCTCGCAGGGTGAGGACGGCCTGCAGGGTGAGGACGGCCTGCGGGGGGCTTGTGGGGTGTGGAGGGCTCGCAGGGTGAGGACGGCCTGCAGGGGGAGGACGGCCTGCGGGGGGCTTGCGGGGTGAGGAGGGCTCGCAGGGTGAGGACGGCCTGCTGGGGGAGGACGGCCTGCGGGGGGCTTGCGGGGTGAGGAGGGCTCGCAGGGTGAGGACGGCCTGCTGGGGGAGGACGGCCTGCGGGGGGCTTGCGGGGTGAGGAGGGCTCGCAGGGGGAGGACGGCCTCGGGGGGCTTGCGGGGTGAGGAGGGCTCGCAGGGGGAGGACGGCCTCGGGGGGCTTGCGGGGTGAGGAGGGCTCGCAGGGGGAGGACGGCCTCGGGGGGCTTGCGGGGTGAGGAGGGCTCGCAGGGGGAGGACGGCCTCGGGGGGCTTGCGGGGTGTGGAGGGCTCGCAGGGTGAGGACGCCTGCAGGGTGAGGACGGCCTGCAGGGGGAGGACGGCCTGCGGGGGGCTTGCGGGGTGAGGAGGGCTCGCAGGGTGAGGACGGCCTGCAGGGGGAGGACGGCCTGCGGGGGGCTTGCGGGGTGTGGACCCCCCCCCCACCTTTTCCTCAGGTTGTGAGGTCGGCCGTTATGTCTCGTTTACCATCTTGTTGGTGGCACTATTCCGCCGCGTCGTCACCATTTGGTGGTTTGATGTTTAAAGAAATGAGTATAAGTTAAAAAGAACAGGATTGTGACATTGGTTATTTTCTACAGTTCATGCACGTTGTTTCTTTGAATAACAGTGTTTGTTTATTTTTCTCAATTTTGACCAAAGTCAATGTAATTCAACAACCCAAAAAGGTCCAAAAAGCTCAAATCAACTGTTGATGCTATTACTGACTAAAAAACACTGGCATCACATTATTTCTGAATATTTCATTTTTCAAATTAATACATTTTTCTTTTTCTCGTGGACCTTTCCTGCTCCAACTAGTTGGTCTTTGTTGTGTTCTTTCATGAAATGGACAGATCCACGTAAAGTGTGAGGCTCACAATCAGTATATCATCAAATAACAGCACACTCAAGTTTTGTGGAATCCCAACAGCGTAACAGAAGTTTCAGTTTAACTGTTGACTTCCAACCACCAGCCCAATGTTAGTTACTGATGAATGGCTGTCTATGGATGCCCTTGATGAATGGCTGTCTATTAGGGGTGTAACAATTCATTTTAACAACGATTCGATTCGAATCATGGTTGCCGATTCGATTCATGGACGATCTGGGTTCATATCGAACGATTCGATTCGATTCAGTGACTTGAAATCGATTCAGTGACTTGAAATCGATTCAGTAACTTTACTGGACAGTGCAGGCAAAGTTTCTGAGAACACTGTTGTTTCTTGTAAGGAAATCCGGTTTAAATTAATTATGGATATTATAAACAAGCAAAAAACAATTGATGGCAAATGTATTAACCTTTTATTTGAATCAAGTGCCATTTTCAATGTAAACATTACACAATAATTACACAATGTTTGGATCAATTCACAGACACCTCATTGTCGGGTCGCTGGTCTTTACAGATAAACTTGTTACTGTGATGAGTTTGGTGCTGGAGGCCTGAGGCGTCTGCAGAGCTGAGTTACCTGCTGCTGCTGCAGCGGTGACGCTGCTAGAGGTCCTGACTGTCGGCGTTGTTTAATCCCACGGCGCAGCGGTTCCCAAACTCAAGAATGCCGCGGCCCTATTTGAAATCTGAAAATCTTTCGCGGCCCACCCAAACCTTTAATCACAACTGTGATCAAAACATAATCGTTAAATGACCTTAAGAATTTAACCAAAATCAAACATCCGTGAGCAAAAGTTCGTCTCCGCGAGGTATTTGCTCGCTTGCGAAACGTGAACTTCGTTGCTTGCGAGGAGAATCTCTGCTCGCGCTCGAAGGAGTTTTCTACGCGCTCGCTGTTGTTCTTTCTGACAGTAAGGTGGAGACGGTGCTTTCAGGGTCCGATCGATGCTGCGAGGTGCGTCCGCTCCCGCCGCCCCCCTCGCCTTCCACGCCTTAAATCTTCGGCTGCTTTTAGAATAACTTATTCCCCCGTTAAGATGGTTCAGCTACTGTAGAGAAAACGGCACCGTCTCTCGCTCTTTAATCTCATGAAGTGCTCGGCAAGAACGACGGCTTTGTTTCTCCGACGCGCCCTGAAACAAGCTCCATATCTCACGCGCTTGAGCGCCGTTTAGCATCTCGCCGTCGTAGACGAGCTTTGGCATGTTTGGCAGAGCGCCTTGAGCGCCGTGTACAACCAGTATGGATCAACCGATTAACCAATTGATCCATATATATAAGGCGCTCCGGATTATAAGACACTGTCGTTTTTTGAGGAAATTAAAGCCTTTTAAGTGCGCCTTGGAGTGCGGAAAATGCGGTATATTCACTTTAATACCACAAGAGGGCGCCCCGCTTGTTGAACAACGACGGGCGGACAAGAGCAAGAGCCTTATTGTTTTATTAATCTGTCAGTTTAAATTGTTTGTGCTTCATCAACTAATGTTCCACATAACTAATGTGCCGCATCATAAATATATACGTATATTAATTTCAAACTTTTAAAAATTGAAAATTAAAAAACTTTTATTAATTTATTGTAAATGACCTCAAATGACCATCATTACCGGCACATTAAGAGCAATGCGTCCAGCTATCAGACCGGTCCGTAGTGGTAAAATGAAGTCTGAATCTGTGAATATCTTGCCAACTTTCAGTACGGATCGACTTTTTGGAAAATGTAAATAATGAGGTAGGATGTGTGCAGGCTCCTCCATATTTCGGTGAAGTTATTAGATATTCAGATTCAGACTGACGGACCGGTCTGCGATCTTGACGCGTCGGTCTTAATGTGCCGGTAACGCTCCACTACGGTTACATAAAGGTGGCGTTTGTGTTTTGACAACGTTTTATCTCATAATGTTGGCTTTCTATGCGGAAATGGGCTTCTATAGTTGTGTGAATGCATCACTCCAGCCAATCCAAAGACGGGGTTTGTAACCAATCAGATGTAGATACCATGTGACTGGCTCCGCCCCCTTACTGTCTGAAAGAACAACAGCGAGCGCGTAGAAAACAGCGCGAGCAGAGATTCGCGTTTCGCGAGCGAGCAAATATCGAATGAATCGATGAACATTTGCTCGCCCGAGACGGAGATTTGCTGGCGGATGTTTGATTTACGCGTGCGCATCAACCTGATTTGCGCTCTCGAATTTTGACAGTGATTTGCCGCCATAGACGTCATGAGCGATGTGAATAAATGAGATGGTGCGAGACCTGATGCTGTTTGCTCGCCCGTACGGGGACTATTTCTTCTCTATGCTACTGAAATGCGATACACAACGTTTGGTGGTTAATAATATTTTGTGCTGACAGGCAGCTATTTACTTACTATTTATAATTTTGCTGGTAAGCGTATTATAAAAGCAACAAGGTACTTGAGGCAGTACTTTATCTTCTCCGCTTCTCGTCGGGCCTAACAACACCCCCAACTGTTCCATTATTGGACGATGAAGTACAGCCTCTCGTACCTTATTGCTTAAGTAATGCACGGTAAATAAAAATAAATGAGGGAGGAATAACTGTTAAACACTTTTGCTTGGGATCAGAGCGGAAGTCCAAGCTAAACTCATCCAGGATAAGTTGAATACCCCTGGTGTCACGCGCAGGACACCGCGGCTGTGTTGTCCTGTGTTCACTACCATACGTTGTTAGTTGTGTTAACAATAAGCTTGTTGCTTGTAGCAGCTCACAGACAGCATGCGGCCTGAGCTACAACATCTGGGCCCTGTTCCTCGTATGTGGTTCAACTAAGTCGATCAAATGTCCCATTATGCATCCCAACGAGATGATTGACATCAGGCTCTCTCAGGGCTGATCCGCCCGTCTCGTTATGTGCAACCAGATGTCAATCATCAGGATAATCAGCGGGCTACGTTAGAAGGAGGAAGAGTCCATCACCGAAACCGGGATTTATAACGGTACGACGGCAAATGAACGTAAAGGAAGAGCGTCTTTTTTCTCCGTTGACGAGCAGGAGATGATCATGAACACATATGAGGAGATAATATGTGTATT